ATAGAGTATAAGAACCTCCCAATCCAGGACAGGTAAAGCACTAAATCATGAGACATTAGGACAAAAAAAAGTTTATAATTTTAAAACATTAAGGTTTAGGGTTGCTTGTTTCACAGAAACATGAACATATGCCAACGTGGGTTCAAACCCCACTCCTGGTACCAATTTCACCGATTGCTACTACTGCTAAGCTGGAGTGACTACCCCGTAAGTTCCATCTGTTCACAAGAGGGACGGAATGCAAGCACAGTGAAGGAGGACTTGCTGGCCCCTGCGCTGGAGAGCAGTCACTACAGACCTGATAAACAATGCCTTTAATAAGTGTATGAGGATCTATTAATACATACATTCGTTATATCTTTAAACCTCACTTCCTTTCCAGATCTATATTTAAAATGTGTTTGTAATGAAAATGGGAAGTTAAATCAGTCACCTGTTAAAGTCTAAGAAATAACATAATATTTGGGCAAATATACCTTCCCCTTTAGAGAAATCTAGTCTCATGGGCAAGCAAAACCAATACAGAAAGAACAAAGGACATTAAAATCCTTGGTCACATGGCAGTCTACCCTGCCCTGGCTATATTAACACGTGAGGGCAGATTATGTAAAAGATTCTTTTTATATTTCTAGAGCCCCCCCCCCCCCCCGCTCCCACACTCCCCTTCCCCCCATCCATTGGAGATATGGCCAAGAGTGATAAGAATGAGAAGCAATACACTGGGGTGAAGATGCAAATATTTTTAAACATAAGAATGAAAAACAGCCCTAGTCAGTTTGGCTCAGTGGATAGAGCGTTGGCCCGAAGACTGAAGGGTCCTGGATTCGATTCCAGGTAAGGGTAGGTACAACAGTTGCAGGCTTAATTCCTGGCCCTGGTCAGGGAGCGTGCAGGAGGCAACCAATCAATGTGTCTCTCTCACATCGAAAAATAGCCTCAGGTGAGGATTAACAACAACAAAAAGAATGAAAAACAAATTCCTGGAACATACAATCAGTTAATTGAAGAAAAAAAAAAGAGGAGCCGAAACCGGTTAGGCTTAGTAGATAGGTCTGCCTGCTGACTGAAAGGTCCCGGGTTCGATTCCGGTCAAGGGCATGTATCTTGGTTGTGGGCACATCCCCAGTAGCAGGTGTGCAGGAAGTAGTTGATCGATGTTTCTCTCTCATCTATGTTTCTACCTCTATCCCTCTTCCTTCCTTTCTGTAAAAAAATAAATAAAATATATATTTTTTAAATAAAAATAAAAAAGCCGCCTCACAGTTGAACATCCGAAATACCTTAAACCTTGCATGGTCATCTGACATCCACTGAGTCTAAGAAAATTTTCCAGGTAGGATTTGGTATATGAATTTGTTAGGGTTCATTAGAGCAACACTATTTGTATTTTGCTTCCCAATTAATAAGTGCCTAAACACAGCTGCACTTTGAAAATTATAAAATTAGAAACAAGTTGCTGATAAGAACACTACCCTTTTCACTATTACTGAGGTCCAGCCGAGGTCCAAATGAACTCATAAACTTAGCATTGAGAGAACAAAAATATGGCAGATACAGGGTAATTCCTTCAAACACAACAAACTCCAAAACTACCTAAGAACTCTGGAAGGTCCCATTACAAGAGAACAGACTAACAAGCTGCATCTTCTATGTAACACGTTACATAATCTTTGTTAACTGGTTTAAATGTCTATTTTAGTCTGTCCCACTGGAGCTCTGATCCTTTTTGCTTGAAATTAAATCCTATACTAATTTTCTGAAACTAGAACACATTCCTGCTTCTCAGACCTTATTATGAATGTCTCTTTTTTTTTTTCTATTAAGATAATGCCCATACTCCTTACACACACACACACGCACACACACACACACACACACACACACACGGCACTCAACACACATCCCGGTGCCATTCTCCATCTCAATGGAAAGGTATATACTACTTTGTTTTTCCCACTGATTCTTATAACCAAAGCAAGTGTTTCTGGTCTAACAGCCAACAAGAAGTAAATCCTGCATAACAAAGTGTATAAACTGCTTCAAACTAGGAACAACCATGAAAAAGACATACTGTCCAGCCGAAACCGGTTTGGCTCAGTGGATAGAGCATCAGCCTGTGGACTGAAAGGTGCCGGGTTCGATTCTGGTCAAGGGCATGTACCTTGGTTGCCAGCACATCCTCAGTAGGGGGTGTGCAAGAGGCAGCTGATTGATGATTCTCTCTCAACGATGTTCTAACTGTCCCTCTCTCTTCCTCTCTGTAAAAAAAATCAATAAAATATATTTAAAAAAAAAAAAAAAGAGAGAGAGAGAGAGAGAGAGAGAGAGAGAGATACTGTCCATATGCAAAGAAGTGAAGGTAATCGGTCCAAAGGTAATTGATCACACAGCTAGTAGGTGGCAGAGTTTGCATTTACCTCATGGCTACCTGTATAATATTAAACTGTTACAATATTCATTTTGTGTAATACTCATTTTGAGCCAAGAACGTCAAAGGATCCCTCTCTCTCACCTGCAAAGGGCCTAAATAATTATTAACAAAAATGAAATCATGTTAGTGCTATGCGCCAAGCACAGTGGGGAACATTTTACACACATTATTTAATTCTCATATCAACCCTAAATAAAGCTGGAATAAGGGAGGTATTTGTGGACACAGAATTAAGTAGTCATTAGGTACTAGTTACTAGTTTACGATACTATCCCTATTTTACAGATGTGAAAATCAAACTTTTTTCAAGTCATAATGCTATTAATTGGCAGAACTGAGACTGAACTCAGGTTACTTGATTCCAGAATTTTTCCAAGTTCTAAGTTATTCTGCTCAGCCAACCAAGTATTGTGCTGGCTCATTTGGCAAAGAGGGAAAGAAGAAAGGAACCCAGCAGCAACCATGACCTTCCTACATGAAGAGATGTCTTACATCTTCCCGATGGAAGTGCTGAAGCTGTAACATGTGGTGGCAAAAATCTCAGGCCCAAACTGAAGTTAATCTTCAATCCGAACGGCTTGTGGGTCCCTGAGTCTGCCAGGTGTTAGGAAACAATTCTTAATAGGTCTCACACATCTCGGCACAGTTTGCAAGCAGAGGCATGAAGGGCCCTTTTGTTGCAAACTCTCTCTTCAAGGATGTCTGTACAATGAACAGAGCTTTGGCAGACTGGGACAGTGTTTCCCACCACAGCAGAGGGCAGTAGAGTCAGATAATGTCTTCCTCCAGGGGAAAGACAGGCAGGCTTACTGCCCATTGGAGAAATCTGGATCCCATGGCTGTGACACAAACCCACTGCAGAGTCACTCTGGACCCTTCCCTGTCAATCAATCCAGTAAGGACTTGGGGCAGCGAGGCAAACCCATGGGCACATGACACACTGCTTCTTAATGTGCAACAAGAAATAAAGACCTCTGTCTCTTATCCAGAAGTTTCCTGTCTTCTGCCAGCATCCATGAAACTGGTGGCTACCATGGTAACTACCAAGGAGGGTAAACACTTACTCTTCACAGAACCTGACACCAAGGACTTCACACCTCTTCTCACCTTTGCTTTCCTCAGAAGTAACCTCTCCCAGGAAACACCTACCCATCTTTCTCTTCACCTTCTGTATGGAATTCCTCCTATAGGCTCTTACTAGGATTGCCTATGAACACGGGTTTCTATCACACACCTTTAAGGCTTTATTCCACTTGCTGTTCCACTTTACCAATTTGTTGCCATTCAGCTCAAATTTATCTTCTAATACACACTCTGGTAATGAATGGAATTGCTTTGAGCATCTCCTTTTATAGTGGCATGTCAAAATTTATCAATTGAGGGTGCTGGAAGGACACGGCCGGAGGGAATCCTGCAGCTAACTTTATACAGGATTTAATGAGGAAAGGCTAGATGCTTTTGCCCTGAGATCAGGAACAAGATAAGAGTGTCAGTTCTCACCACTTCTATTCAACATTGTACTCTACTTTCTAGTCAGGGCAATTAAGCAAGAAAAATAAGTAAAAAGCAACCAGATTGGAAAGGGAAAAATAATACTATCTGGATTTGTAGATAGCATTCTCTGATCCTAAGGAATCCACTATATATATATATATATATATACACACACATACACACACACACACACACACATATATCCCATTTATATATATTGTACATGTATATGTGTATACATGTATATATAATTTACAATTTCAGTAAAGTTGCAGGCTGTAAGATTAACATAAAAATCAATTCTATTTGTAATGAATAATCTGAAATAAAATTAAGAAAACAATTCCATTTATATTAACATCAAAAAGAGTAAAATGTTTTGAAGTAAATTAACAAAAAAGTGTAAAACTAATACTCTGAAAACGTTATCGAAAGAAATTTTAAAATAACTAAAAAATGTAAAAATAACATGAAAAAGGTAAATATGTAAAAATACATGAAAATAGAATACTTAATATTGTTGTTCAGATGGTAATACTCGCAAAATTAATCTACAGATTCAAAAAATCCCATCAGAATCCCAGTTAGGTTCTTAGTAGAAATGGACAGCTGTCCTAAAATTCATATAGAATTACAAGGGACCTCAAACAACCAAAACAATCTTTTTTTTTTTTAATACATTTTATTGCTTTTTTACAGAGAGGAAGTGAGAGAGATAGAGAGCTAGAAACGTCGATGAGAGAGAAACATCGACCAGCTGCCTCCTGCGCACACACACACACACACACCCACCCCACTGGGGATGTGCCTGCAACCAAGGTACATGCCCCTGACCGGAATCGAACCTGGGACCTTTCAGTCCGCAGACTGACACTCTACCATGGAGCCAAACCAGTTTCAGCAACCAAAACAATCTTAAAAAAGATGACCAAAACTGGAGGACTATACTTCCTAATTTCAAAATTTGCTACAAAGCAATTGCAACAAGACAGCATGGTACAGGCACAAAGACAGGCATACTTCAGCAATGGAACAGAATTGAGAGTCCAAAAATAAACTTGTGTGGTCAACTTACTTTTGACATGGTACCAAGACCATTCATTGGAGAAAGAACAGAGCTGGGATAACTGGATAGCCACGTGCATGCAAAGGAATGAAATTTGACCTTAAATTAAAAATATATAAAAACTACCTCAAAATGGACCTAAATGTAATAGCTATAAATATAAAACTCTTAAAAAAAAACACAGGATTAACTTTTCATAATCTTAGATTTGGCGATGGATTCTTAGGTATGATACCCAAAGCACAATCAACAAAAGAAAAATAGATCACTGAACTTCATCAAAGTTAAAAAAGTTTATGTTTCAAAGAACACTATCAAGAAAGTAAAAAGGCAATGCACAGAACAGGAAAAAGTACTCGCAAATTATACACTTGATAAGGGTCTTGTATCTAGAGTATGTATTGGTGGAACTAACTCCAGAAAATGTAAAGGGCTTAAGAAAGGAGGAAATCACATGAACTTTACCATGAACAGGCCTGACTCTAGAACTTTCAAGTTCAAGTTATTACAAATCCATGAGATACAGGCTGCCAAGGCTCACGTTACACTCTTTTATGTAAATTAAAAATTATTTTCTAACAATAATTAATTGAAATGGCCAGGAAAATAAAGGTTATTTACAAGAACATTTCTGTTATTTTTTCCATAATTCCTTTCCAGATATTACTATATTCATTGACTTTATAAACTGAACAGAGACTATCACAGAATGACTTTTACCTAGATCAGGAATCAGTAAGGTGCAGCCCACTACTGGTCAAGTCAGACCCACTCCTTCATATATTATTTATGGCAGAGTTGGGCAGTTGCAACAGAGACAGGACTTGGTTGGGAAATGGGCTATTTGCTGGCCTTTTCAAACTGGATCTCATGGTGGGAAAGTAGACTTACAAACAATTAAATGCAAAGAAGTACTGTACTGTTTTGATAAATGAATGCCCAACCAACACAGAGGAGCCAAAGAGAGCCATTGGGTCTGGGTAGGAGAAGAATGTCTGTAGAAAAACATACTTATGCTTCGCCTGGGAAGATGAGTAAGTGCCCTTCAAGCAGTAAGCAGTCAGCAGGGAGAGAGCATTGTAGGGAAAGGAAGTCATGTGAGCAAAGGCAAGGAGGCTTGACAGAGCACATGGTGGAACTCGACCCAGTTTCTCTAGCTGGAACACACAGAGCGGAAGGAGGGGTATAGCCAGTGACATCATGAACATTCTTGTAAACCAGGCTCAACAGTTCAAAGTGGGTATGGGAATAAATAGCTTCCATTTTTCAGAGAGTAAATGCCAGATGTTTTGGTCATGGCCAAAGGCATGATCAAGCAAGGATGATCTGCAAAGCAAAAACAACTCATGGTAATCAAGATTTTAATACAGTCCTAGCCTTTTGTTTTAAGCCCAGAAAGGGAGCCTTATAAGTCAACAATGAGCATTAGTATAGAACAGACTACAATCTTCAGGTACAATGATGGCAGAGCTCAGCAAAAGGGCTGTCCCTGCAATGAGCACAGGCGCAGGGTGGGTAAGAGGACTGATCTCGGAGCGCACTGCCAACAAGAAGGGAAAAGTCACACATAAGGAAAAGGATTGAGAAAGACTCAGTGTACTCATATGTAAAACAGCAAGTAATTATGCTACCTACCTACCCTTACAGCATTGTTGCAGGATTAAATGAATGAATACCCATGAAGTATTTAGAACATGGCAGGTAAATATACAAAGAGCACTGTCTGTTTGTCATTGTTAGGTTGCCTAGTAAGTGTCATCTACAAAAGATGTGTGCCAACCGGATAGAAATGCAGGCTGTTAGGTCATAATGTAAAAAGTTGTGAGTGAGACAGACAGACTGATCATTTGAAATATAACAATTACTACTATGTAGCTTTTCTTATACTTGTCTTACCTGCTAACTAAATTATTTATTAGCTTTATGAGCCCATGGGCCAATAAATATTAGTAATTTATCAACAAAGTATCAGAAATCATCTAAGAATAATGAAAGCTAATCAAACTCAAGTAAATGTTTTGAACCAGTATTGTACAACAGTAAAGGGAGAAAATTAAGTTGCCCAAGCACTGCCCCCAAAAAAAGCAAGCCTAAATCTTTGTGTGGGAGCAAAAGCCATCACTGCTGCCACCACCAGTTTGGAGAGTGTAACTACATTTACACATATTCTCTCTCCTCTGTTAGAGTATTGCCTATAACTTCTCATTGTGTATAACCTTTCCATTTAACATTTCCTTCTCTTCACTTACTCACCTAGCTTCCATATCTGACATTACAACAGTAGTAACGAAGACAAAACCATAAAAGGTGCCTTCTGTGTCCTCTTTCAGTGACTTTAAGAAATATGATGAAATAGTGATGAAATCATTTTTAATCAGCCATCATTAGGGCAGACAGTGCTGGAAGGAAGGGGAAGGGTAGACCTAAAGGTAAACAAAGCTTCCTCTCAACTTTAGGCGGAAGTGTCTGATTCCACAAGGCATTCAAAGAAATGCATGCGAGGAACATGCCTCTTGCAACTTGGTCACATGCAAAGATGAAGCAAGAGGCACATCTGTTTGGAGCTTGCCCCAAGTGCCTCTAAAGCTTCTCCAAACTGGGTTCATAACTCCCACCCACAGAGAAAGCCAGCGCCTTAAGCTGCACCAAGGGACAAGCAAATTAGAACATTTCCAAGGTCAATTGCTCACAGGCCTAACTGTTTACTGCAGCTAGAGTATATCTGGCTGCTGAAGAGGCTGAACCTCCCTGCCTTGCCCAATAGCATAGGAAAGTAATTTACCATATCAGCTACAAAATAGGAAGCTCTGGAGGTGTAGATTCAAACAGCATATGACATTTCAAACAGAAGCAAATACTCGTAAGATCTCCAAAGAAGGTGCTGAAAAACTTTGGGGAAAACCTAAAAGAGCAAGCACACCAGTGGCAGAGGAGTGACAAGTGCAACGCCATCACCATCAACCAATCAATGGATAGTAAGTATTATCTTCTTTTACCAACTGGTTTGATTTGAATACTCACCAAAACTGATAAAACCTGCAAAATTGATACCCTTATAATTTCCTGCCTTGCTCTGAGAGTCACCGAAAAGAGAAATATCCTCTGCACTTGCTGCTATGACAATAGCCATTTGCCACGTGTGCTGTTTACCACACGAAATATGGCTGTACAGACTGAGATGCACTGTACGTTTTTTTAAAAAGTAAAAACTCATCAAATATCTTTATATTGATCACATGTTGAAAAATACTTTTTAACCTCTTTCTTCTCACCATTTATTCAATATAAGGAACATAATGGAAAAGTTTAAAGTACTAGCACACAACTGGCTCTCACCATGTTATTATTGGACAGTGTTGCTATATATATATATAATGCTTCACATTTTATAGAACACAAATATAAAATTATAGTTCTAAGTACAGAAGAAGGAGAAATAGGTCTGGATAATAAAATAATCCTTATAATAAAAGCCTAATATGCAAATTGATCGAACAGTGGAACGAACAGTCACTATGATACACACTGACCACTGGGGGGCAGGCACCCAATGCAGGAGCTTCCCCCAGCCCACAGGCCCCAGGCCAGCCAAGGTGGGTGTAAATGGGGAACCCTGATCGCCCTGCCAGTCATCCCACAGATCGGCCCTGATCGCCGGCCAGGCCTAGGGACCCTACTTGTGCACAAATTTCGTGCACCAGCCTCTAGAATTTTTATAAAAATCACATTGTTTCAAATGTTGATCACCAACCTACTAAAAGCTCCTTTCTCTTATAACAAGATAAAACATTATATCTTTCAAAAAAGAACCTGATGTTTCAAAGATGATCCTTAAGTCTGCTCTATATCTACCGTGAGTTTACATCTTAACCTAGCATTAGCTGAGTCTTAATTCTTTCGATGACCAAACATCTATTATATATATATATATATATATATATATATATATATATATATATATATATATATATAAAACAAATATGCAAAGTGTCCTCTCAGGAGTTTGATGGACCAGGAGTTCGATCACCTGCTATGATGTGCGCTGACCACCAGGGGGTGGAGTGGAAAAAGAAGGCCCTGACCAGCAGCCGGCAGCCAGGGAAGGGAGGCCCTGGCTGCAGCTGGCAAAGCGAGCACCCACTAGGGACTCTACCCATACATGAATTTTGTGCACTAGACTGCTAGTATATGATAACATGCTGGTCTAATTTTAAAATCTGCCTGAGTGTCTCCAATTCAGTTTTTGATTTAGTCATTTTCAAGTTCTATTAGGTCACTGAAACCTAACCCATGCCTCTGCTCCAAAGATAAAGAAGGAAAATCAAAGCAAAGATTATTCTCAAGAGTCTAGAAAAACCCAGGCGGTATTTAGATACTATCCATCTCCTGTTTTAAAACCTAAAATGTGACTCAGTTACTATTTAAAAATGTGACATCTCAGTGGTAATGGGAGAGCTTAGCTAACAGGAAAGCAGAGCAAGTAATTATCTGAACACATCCCATCATGTGGAGAAATCACACCAACTTTCAGGTTGGGACAGCCAATGGAAGAAAGACAAACTGGAGGTGTCAGAATAGTTGGAAGTTTATGGGGGGATACTGCACGGACACATGAGGTGAAGTGAGGTGAACAGTAGCCCAAACTTTCCTCTCTAGAGCTTTTAAAAAGAAAACCATTCAACTTTCTGACCAAGGAAGCAAACAGGACAGGAAACTCATCTCACACTGTCCCAGGCACAACTGGCCCATTGAGAGAAAGACATAATGGCATGGTATTTATGTGACCAGCAGGTATACATCATTTTAAAGTGGTTTCGAAATGTAATCAACAACAAAATCAGGATCCATTAACTTTTGTAATAATAAAAGGGTAATACGCAAATTAGACCTGATGACCTGCCAGAAAAAAACGGGGCTATGAGGCTACAAGGAAAGCCTGGGTCCAGTGCGAGAGGGAAGCCGGTGCTGGCAGCTAGGGGAAGGAAGGCCCACTCTCACACGAATTTTGAGCATCAGGCCTCTAGTAGAAAAATAAATATAAGATGTATATTTCCTTTTTTTGGCAAGGCCTTTATCTATCTCTGGTAAATGCAATTGAG